CAGGATTCACCCAAGCCTTCAACTTTTCCGTATTCTTTTTTTTTAATTGAAGTGTAGTCAGTTTAAAATGTATCAATTTCTGGTGTACAGCATAATGTTTCGCTCATACATATATATATTTTCATATTCTTTTTCATTATAGGTTCCTATGAGATATTGAATAGTTCCCTGTGCTATACAGTGGAAACTTGCTTATCTATTTTATATATAGTAGCTAGTATCTGTAAATGTCGAACTCCTAATTTATCCCTTCCAACCCCCTTTCTCCCCTGGTAACCATAAGTTTGTTTTCTATGTTTGTGAGTCTGTTTCTGTATTGTAAATAAGTTCATTTGTGTCTTTTTTTTTTTAGATTCCACATATGAGTGATATCGTATGGTATTTTTCTTTCTCCGTCTGGTTTACTTCACTTAGAATGATGATCTCCAGGTCCATTCATGTTGCTGTAAATGGCATTATTTTATTTATTATTTATTTTATTTATTATTTATTATTTATTTCTTATGGCTGAGTAGTATTCCATTGTATAAATATACCACAACTTCTTTATTCAGTCATCTGTCAGTGGACATTTAAGTTGTTTCCATGTCTTGGCTATTGTAAATAGTGCTGCTGTGAACATTTGGGTGCATGTGTCTTTTCAAATTAGAGTTCCCTCCAGATACAAGCCCAGGAGTGGGATTGCTGGATCACTTGGTTAAGTCTAGTTTTAGTTTTTTGGAATTCCATACCATTTCCCACAATGGCTGCACCAAACTGCATTCCCACCAACAGTATAGGAGGGTTCCCTTTTCCCCTCACCCTCTCCAGCATTTATTGTTTGTGCTTTTCCATATTCTTAAACTTTTTTTCTTTGACAGTGAGAATGTGGCTCTATTCACTAGTTTGTTTGATCCTAGTATCATAAAGTAGTTACATATGCCTGTAAGAGATTTATTAACTAGAGTCGAGTATTTGTGGAGAGATCTTTATCATAAGCCTTACAGTATCCAATCCAAGTACTGTTTTCCAAAATTACTTATTTTCTTCTCCATCTCTTTCTGCATGGCTGTGTTATTCACCTGTAATGCAGTTTGATTCATTTGTTAGTGTTGGTACTTCACGTGGGCCCCCCACTCCCATATCTTAGTTGTAACTACTTATTGTGGTGAAACATAGAATCAAAGCTATACAAAAAGGTTTACTCAGAGAGATACCGTTCCGTCCCCGCCCCACTATCCTGTCTGCACTGCCCCGACTTTCCACTGCTTTTCCCTCCCACCCCATGAGCGGCATCCTCCTTGTTGTCAATGGCAGTTCCGTCTTTACTGAGCACTGACTTACGTGTAGGCACTTTGCATGCGTTGCTTCATTCCTGCCCCTTAAGATAGGTACTCTTATTACCCCCATTTTCTTAAATGAGGGGGCTGAGCCCCAGAGAGTGAAAGGAACTTGTCCAAGGGGACATATCTAGACCATAACCAGTACGCAAACTGGGATCTCTCTGACACCAGGGCCGGTGTTCAAACTACCCCTTTCTTAAAATCTTCTGGTCCCTCCTCAATCTGGGTCTTCCTAAACGTTGGCACTTCCGAAGTCACCTTTCTGAAGACATTCTTTTAACGGTTGGAACCTTTGCTCTCGCTGGTCAGATGTGTTAAACAAGATCCACAAGGGGTCACCTGGCCTTTCGTTGGAACTTTGGGTAAGATTCTGTTTTCAGTTGATTCTTCCTTCCCCGTTTTCAAAATATGTTTACATATGTATGTTACTTATAAATTTGGAGACAACTTTCTTTAAAAGATTTCTTTCAAATATTGCTGAACCTTCATGGAAAACAATTGTCTGGGGTCACATAGCTTGAAGGAGCAACCCCATTTGGCATTGTTGCTGTTCAGGCCAGTAGACCATTAAGAGGCTTTCCTGTGTCTCAGACTCTGTGCTAGGTGCTTCAAGGATAAAGATGAATGCAAATTGTCCCTGCTGTTGAGGGGCTTAAAGTCTGATACGGGAGAGGGGTGAGGTCTACAGGTGATTCTAATGCAAGGAAGTCTTGGTTCAGTGCTAGACGAGGGGCCATACGTAATGCAGTGAGAATTCAAAGAGGAAACTCAGAATGGGGAAGAGGAGGCAGGGGAGATTCTGGGAGAAGTTTCAGGGAGAAGCAGCATTTGAAGTGGGACTTGGGAGAATGGGAAAGGTTTGGATGGGTAGATATAGGGGAAAGAAGGCTGGGGCGAAGGGTTTCAGTCAAAAGATCTGTTTGGGCAAAGGCATAGGGAAAAAAATTGCAGGGGAGCGTGGGAAATGGTGAGTAGTCTATGGTTGTGGTAGAGAGGGGTGGTAAGAGAGGAAGCCAGATAGGTGGCTTGGGTCATCATAAGGGCCTTTGTATCAGTTAGAATGTTCTAGGCTTCCAGTCATATTGCCCAGCCCGACCTGGCTTAAGCAATAAGGTTTATTGGCTCCATAACTGGGAAGTCCAGAGGTAGCTCGGACCTCATCAGTTTGATGAACTGCCCCACTAGGATGGAAACCCATGTGGTTTCAACCGCTCTACTCTGCTGTCTGTGCTGCCAGAGTCATCCTAAGGCCAGTCTTCCTGCATTCCAGTGAGGGCTGCCAAGCCATCTCCGTACAAGCTTCCTCAAGAAAGGCTTGGTGTGTCAAGTCTCTCCTTAAGTCTCACTAGCCAGAATGGGCTCAGATACGCCATTTCTTAATTCATCACTGGAAACTGGGGGTGGGATTGCCTTTTGCCCAATCGAGCCCACTTCTAGAGCTAAGATCACAATTTGTTTCCCTTGGCACACATTGAACAAAATCAAGATTCAACGACGAAGGAAGAAGCGGGAAGTTGGTGCTGGGGAGGTGACCAACAATAACCTCTATGGTCTCAGGTGCCAGGAAGTGTAGTATTATGCTTGTTAAGTGAAAAATTGGAGAATGTGGAAAAATTTCTAGGTTTGATCAACCAAAAAATATTCCTGTATTTCACTGAATCTAAGATGCTATCAATTGTTTGTCTACAGGACAACCTGGTTTCTTTAACAATTAAGTTGCAAGGAAAAAAGACATGAAGGAGGAAGCTATTAAGAGACTTAAAGATGTATCAGTCAGTAGTGATGTCTGGATCTCATTTGGATCACAATTCAGATAAACAAACCTTAAAATACATACACATTTATGGCATTTATGAGACAATTGGAAATTTGAACAGACTTGAGTTATACATTGATGTCAAGGAACTGTTGTGGTTTTCAAAATGTGGAATAATATATTGTGGTTATGTTTTTTTAAAAAAGATTCCTATCTTTTAGAAATACATATTCAATTATTTACAGATGAAAATGGTTTGATGTCTGGGATTTGTTTCAAAATAATACAAGCGTAGGGGGAAATAGGTGGGGATGTGGCTGTAAGATTGGCCTTGATCTAATAATCACTGAGGCTGGGTGATGGGTCCCTGTGGAGTTCATGATACTCTTCTACCTTTTTATGTGTTTGAAATTTTCCACAATAAAAAGTCTTTCCTAAGAAAGGAAGAAAAACAAGATATCTGGATAAGCCTAATTGAGGAGGTGACATTTGCTATGGAATGCTCAGCATGTATGGGGCCCCTGCCACCGTCTGGCATTAAAAATACTAAAAACATATTGTCTAGGAGCTGTCATAGATTAAGGATGGCCAGAAATTCTTTTCTAATCCTCCCATTAAGAGGTGGAGGAAATTCCCCTCCCCTTTGAATCTGGGCGGGCCTTAGAGACTTGCTTGACCAATAGGCTACACCAGAAGTGACATTCCAGCACTTCGAAACTAAGTCATAAGAAGCCTCATAGCTTTGTTTGGCTCTCTTGGAACACTCACTGGGGGTCCTGAGTCTTGGAACCCCTGAGAAGTTTGACTCCCCAGGGTTAGGCATTCAGAAGGCTGGGCTCCAGTAAACAGTCCCAGCTGAACCCAGTCTTGTACCAGACTTGTGTGGAGCCCGCGTGGACCTGTCAGACCAGCCCATCTGCTGTGTGCAATAGAAGAATCACCTACCTGAACCCTGCCTGAATTCCTGACCTGCAGAATCATGAGATGTAATTCAATGATTGATGCTTGAAGTCACTGAGTTTGGAGGTAGTGTTTTTGGGCAGCAAGAGGTGGCCAGAACAGAGCTATAGACATATGTGACAAGTTATTTAAGCAAGGGGAAAAGAAACACAGATGTCAGGAGAGGGTTTCTTGGAGCTGGGGAGGTGCAGGTGGGAAGAGGCAGGGGGATGGGGGGGCGGGATGAACACAGGTAGGTTCAAAGGTACCAACAGGGCCTAGTTCTGAGACTGGGTGTTGTGGTGGGTTCTCCATGTGCATTTTAATTTTATATGCCCATTACGTACATAATATTGTAGGCCCTGAATATTATACAAAATAAAAAAGACTTATAAAAGGTCTCAAGCATGCATAGGAAAATGTTAACCTTTGTTAAAGCTGAGTGCTGCGCACATGGTACATTATGATTCTCTATACTTAACGTTTGAAATATCTTACAATAAAATTTTTGAAATTAATTAATAGGACTTCTATAAGGACAAAAAAACACATGTATATACATGCATGTGGAAGAAGATGCATGAAAAGTTGAATCATTCCAATTATATGAACCTTTCAGGGAGGTTCTTATACTTTTTTTTATTGTGGTAACATACACATAACATGAAATGTATCATGTTAACCATTTTAAGTGTAGAATTCAGTGGCATTAAGTGCGTTCACATTGTTGTGCAACATCACTACTATCCATCTCCAGAAATTTTTCATCTTCCAAAACTGAAGCTCTGTACCCATTAAACAATAATTCCCCAGTCCCTCCTCCCCTCAGCTCTGGGAAACCGCCATTCTACTTTCTGCCTCTATGAATTTGATTACTCTAGATACCGCCTATAAGTGACATTGTGCAAATATTTTTATCCTAATTGTAATCGTACTTTATATATGACCATGACTTTTTTTTAGCTTAGCTTTGTATCTCATAGACATTTCTGGGCAAGGCTACTGCATGAGAAAACCAACACGTGTCTACTGGCAGAATTGGATTTCTGTGCTCATCTTCACTTACTCCCTACCCATGGAGTCTGAGCAAGGCTCTTACCCTCTACAAATCTCAGTTTCCACTGAGGGGCCATTGCCAACAACATAAGGTAGGTAGCCAGTAAATGGCAATTCTTATTACAATCATTACATGGATTTTTATTACCAGTCTTCTTAATGGCTGTACATTATTTTCAAAACAGTAACTGTTTCAAAATCAAAATAGCTTTTTCTTTGTGGTTTCTGGAAGGCCCTGACTTAAAAGCAGGTCCTTTCACAGTTCTACTAAGATAGTTTAAAACTTCCAAAGTAGGGTGTTTGTTGGAGCTATAAAACCAATGGTGGGAATTTTTTTTATTAATCAAAGTTATTAACTTGTTAATCAAAATAGCATTACTTTTTTCTGATTAAAAATGTATGCATGTTCAATGGAAAGTAAGTAATGAATAAATAAATAAATAAATAAGTAGAGTTTAAGTTTAGAGAAAGAAAGTGAAAATCTCCAGGGATGTCCATCCCAGAGAGAACCACAACGAAAACGTTTGTGGATATACTTCAAGACTTTTCTCTATGCATATATATTTGTGTTTTCTTAAAAGACATGACTTTTAAAACAGAAATGGTATGCATTCTCATTACTTTTTTAAAATGTAAGAATGGGTCTCAGCGTATGAAAACTCAATTTGTTGTTATGGTGGTTGTGTGCTATAGAAGACGCCATTGTGTTGTTAAGGTCCGGGACCTCCTTACCATCCACAGAGTAAACAAGTTTTGCGTCGTTGAAAGACGAGGGGTCCTGGCTGGCAATTGCTCCATGAAACACTTAGCCCTACTGTGAGGGAGAAGCAGTAGAAAGAGAGAAGTTATGGGGGAGAGCATAAAGAGGAAGTGGGCGGGGACCTGGGAGGAGATGGAGGAAGGAGGCCTGGGATTCGTATGCCTGGGTACCATTCTTCAAAGTGTTCCCATCTTTACTCAGTGACCCAGAAAGTGCTAGTAGCCCCAGTGAACAGGAAAAGTGCAGTTTCGAGTACCATCTGTGTGCCAAGGAGCATGTGGAAGTCACTCCAGCCTCACAGTCCAAGAATGGTGGGGCCACGCCAGCTGCCCGTTTTGAAAGTGAAATCCTTACTGTCCCTGCCTTTTGTCCTGTTACCCTGTGAGTGGGAAAATCACTTTGTCTGGGTCTTGAGACCTCCCACAATCACTCATCCATCATAGTGAAAACACCTCCTTCCTCCACTGCCCTCAGGCCTCAGGGAACCACCGTTAGCCGAGAGGGGTGATGGCAGGAAGAGCTCTCATTACCATATTCAGGGGATGAACAGGGATAAGAAGGGTGGGACTATCTCTGTTACAATAAACATATGACCTCCTAAACACCTGTTGATTCTCTCCTTTTCTTCTGCCACCTTCATAAATCAGGCCCATCATCTATAGTTTTGGCTTTCCACCTGTTTTTTTTATTGTTTTTTTTTTAAAAAAATGAAGTAAATCAGTTACAATGTGTCAATTTCTGGTGTACAGCACAATGTCCCAGTCATGCATATGTATATACATATATTCATTTTCATATTCTTTTTCATTAAAGGTTATTATAAGATATTGAATATAGTTCCCTGTGCTATACAGAAGAAATTTGCTTTTTCATCTATTTTTATATAAAGTAGTTAATATTTGCAAATCTTGAGCTCCCAAATTTATCCCTCCCCACCCTTCCTCCAGTAATCATAAGATTGTTTACTATGTCTGCGAGTCTGTTTCTGTTTTGTAGATGAGTTCCTTGGTGTCCTCTTTTTTTTCTTTTTTCAGATTCCACATATGAGTGATATCGTATGGTATTTTTCTTTCTCTTTCTGGCTTACTTCACTTAGAATGACAATCTCCAGGTCCATACATGTTGCTACCAATGGCATTATTTTATTTTATTCTTAACTATTATCTAAATTCTTTTTATTATATTTTATTCTTTTTATGGCCGAGTAGTATTCCATTGTATAAATATACCACAACTTTTTTATCCAGACATCTGTTGATGGACATTGAGGTTGTTTCCATGTCTTGGTTATTGCAAATAGTGCTGCTGTAAACACTGGGGTGTATGTATCTTTTTGAATTAGAGTTCCCTCTGGATATATGCCTGGAGTGGGATTGCTGGATCATATGGTAAGTCTATTTTTAGTTTTTTGAGGAATCTCCATACTGTTTTCCATAATGGCTACACCAATCCACCTGTATTTTTACTTCTAATCTATTTTAAGGGCACGGACTTGGACAGACTCTAACAGAAAAGGTAGAACCATAAACCATAAACATGATGATATGGGAGGGAAAACACTGGCCTGAGAGGCAGAGCTCCTTGTCCACTTTTTGCCATTTATTTCCTATGACTTTGGATGAGTCCCTCCTTGGATTCAAATTTCTACTTCTGTAAAAATGGGATAGGACAGTGACATCGTCTTCAGCAGTGTTCTCATCAGAAAGGATATGGGCGGGGCAGAGCTGCAGACAAACTGGCTATTTCACCATCTTGCCTAGGCCAGTCCTAACCAAGCCTACACAAGTATAAAGGTCACTAGCTGGTAACTGACCTGCCTATTTCCTATGCAGAGAAAGATAATAATCAGAATATCTACAATATAGCCTCATAATGCCCTGTATTCTATCAAAAATGCTAAACATATAAAGAACCAGAAAAAATGTGATTCACAGCCAAGATTTTAAAAATGTCAGTCACTAAAAACTGAACCTGAGATGGCCAACATGCTGTAATTAACAGAAAACATTAAAACACTTATAAATATCATCCCCCAAATTAAGGAAACTAGGGTTTTAATGAGTGAACAGATAAGGAATCATGAAAATGAAAACCATAAAAAAGAACCAAATGGCAATTCTAGAACTGAAAAATACAAGTGATATGAAAAATTCACTGAATGAGCTTAACACAGATTAGAAATAGTACGAGAAATAGTACATAAATTTAAAGACAGACCAATAAAAGTAATCCAATCTGTAGAACAGATTAAAAAGAAAAATGAACACAGCCTCAGGAACCTGTGAAATAATATCAAATGATATAAGTTTAGTTGGAGTCTTAAAGGGAAAAATAATTGCGATTAAGGCAGGAAACATATTTGAAGAACTAATGGCTGAAGATATCCATCCCACATTGGTAAAAAATTGACTTACAGATCTAAGAAGCTCAGTGAAGCCCAAGAAATATAAACATAAGGAGAACCACATCATAGTCAAACACTGAAAACCAAATATAAAACAATCCTGAAATTACATACAGGGGAACAAGAATAAGATTTATTGCTGACATCAGAAACAACAGAGGTCAGAAGACAATGGAATAACATTTTTAAACCGCTGAAGGAAAAAAAAAAACCAGTCAACTCAGAATTCTTTAAAAAAATGTTTAATTGTAGTATATTTGATGTACAATGTTACATAAGTTACAGGTGTACAATATAGTGATTCACAATTTTTAAACGTTATATTCAATTTACAGTTATTATAAAATATTGGCTATATTCCCCATGTTGTACAATGTATTCTTGTACCTTATTTTATACCTAATAGTTTGTACCTCTTAATCCCCTACCCCCATATTGTCCCTCCCCAATTCAGAATTCTTTATCCATCTAAAATCATCTTTCAAAAATGAAGGAGAAATATAGTTTCAGATAAATAAAAGGTGAGAAAATTTAGCACCAGCAGACCTAAACCACAAGAAAGTAAGTATTAGAGGATGTCCTTCAGATGAAAGAGAAATTACACCAGAAGTAAACGGGGATGTACAAGAAGGTATGAAGAGCCCTAGAAATGGCAAGTAAGGGAGTAAACATCAGAGACTATGCTTTCTTCTTGTCAAAGACAAATGACTCTGCAGAGAAGAAATAGTAAAAACAGTAAACTGGGGTTTATAACAGTTGTAGAACTAAAAGATATGACAACAAATTGCACAAAGAATAGGAGGGCAGGTGTCTGGAATTACTGAGTTGTAAGTTATTAGATTTGTGAAGTGTCACATACGAGAAGGGGAAAGTTGGAAGTGAGATGTTTCAGGTGTGAAGTATGAGACATAACATAATGACTAAACAGACTTTATAAGCTATAGAGTGTGAACCCTAGAGCAACTGCTAAAAAAAAAACACACACAGCAAAAAGGTATAGCTAAGAAGACAACAGAGGAAATAACATTATCACAAAGAAATATTAACCCAGAAAAAGGCATGAAATTCCAAAATATTAGAAAATCAGCGCACTTCTGAATCACCCAGAAATTGAAGAAGAAACGATGTGAGAAATTAGACTCACAAGCAAATAAAATCCTGTGGTTATGCTGCGCTTTCCTGTTTTTAAACTTTTAAATATTTTCTCTCTCTCTCCTTGAGTTTCTTCACATCCTTGGCTAAATCTTTTCATCATGTCCAATAACTTTGTACAACTTTCAACTCAGTTTTCATCTGGGAAATACATTAGAGACTCTATCAGCTCCACTTTTTTTTTTTCCCGTCTTGGAAAACAACTTTCTTGAGGCCTTCCATCCCCTGCTCCCATCTGAACTAGTAGCTCTCAGTGTCAAGTGTACAGGTCTCATCCTTCACTATCACCTTGGGAATTTCCTCTGTCTCTGGCCTGCGTTGTATCCCCTGTTTGATGGATCCCATATCTCCGTCTTGATTGGTTTACTCTCACGTCTTGGTTTCTTTTTTTTTTTTTACCCTTCTATGACTCGTTTTATGGTTTTCAGTTTCCTGCCACAATTGTAAACCTTGGCATTTTCCCTTTGAACAAAAAACACATCGCTGTTTTACAATCACCCTTGCAAATTCTGGTATTTGGCGTTCTGCATTTATTTCTATTGGCTGTTATTTCTGCTGCTTCTTGCTCATAGTGTCTGAAATCTTGATGTGTTTGATTTTGTCTTGGATATTAGATTTTAATTTGAAGATGTAATCTGAAGCCTAGGATATCGTTATATTCCTCCAAAGGGGATTTTGATTTCTTTTCCCCGGGTGCCTGGAATGCTAGCTATCTGAAATACGCTTCATCCAATTTCAGGGTATGAGATTTCAGGGCTTGCTCGGATGAATGGAAGGTGGGCTGCAATGCATGCGAGAGCTGGTTTCCTTCCAAGTCATCCCTGCTCCTAGGCTCCTAGGTAGCTTGTCGAGATACCAGACCAAGGCAGCAGATGATTTACCAGAGTCTTCCATTTGGGCTGACCCTGGACTCTGACTTTTGTCCCCTGTCCCTAGGAGGCCCCTGGAAGCACTCAGTCTCTCAGCTTCTTCTCCCTGGTTGGAAAGATCTCCCTGAGCCAAAATGACCCAAAGAGCTGCTTGGTCTCATCTCTCCTGGATCTTGGCTTACTACTTTCTGTCTTGTTAAGCATTTCATGCTTTTAAGGATATTTTAAAATTATGTCGTCCACCTCCTTTGATGTCTTCAGCAGGAGCGGTGCTCCAAATGCCCTAGTCTGCCATTTGCAGAAGTTGAAGTCTCTCTTCCTCATTTTGGTGGCAGACAGACTCCAGTAGCTTCCTGACACACGGTGCCTCGGAAGGAACTTTTTGCAACCCTACATGTCTGAAAATGTTGATAGTCTATCTTCATACTTAATTGTTGCTTTGGCTGGATGTAGAATTCTAGGTTGGATCTTAATTTTCTTTCAGAATATTTAAGGAATTACTTCCTGTCTTCTAGCTACCAGTATATCTTTTGAAAAATCCAGAGCCATGCTGGTTTCTGATCTTCTGTGTGTCATCTATTTTCCTCTCCTGGAAGTGCTTACAATCTTCCCTTTATCCTTGTATTTGAAATTTTCACGATGAGGATCCTTGATGTGGGCTTTTTTTTTTTTTTCATTCACTATGCTGGGCTCACGGTGTTTTCTGCCAAACTGGAAATTCATGTCCTTCAATTCTGGGCATTTTCATGTATTATTTCTTTGATAATATCCTCTCCACCTTGTGTGTGTGTGTGTGTGTGTGTGTGTGTGTGTGTGTGTGTGTGTGTGTGTCTGTCTTTCTGGAACATCTATGATTTGTCTTCTGGAACAATCCTCTAATGCCTTTTTTCTTTTCTTTCCTATTTTCC